AAAGAGAGAGATTATATCTCTTTTATTTCCATAAGGTTTCCGCTATTTCTCTTCACATATTTGGCAATATATAAAATCGATTGTACATAGCCTGCCACCGTGCGTAGCTTAAGGGTTTGGCAATCGCGTTTGCACGAAAGCATTCCACTTTTTTCGTGTTAGGCAATCTTCAATGTTTGGACTCCGTGTTTCTGTCTCTGCAACAAAAATAAAGTATTCTTTTGCTTTACCAATGATCTTTTTCACTGTTGCCTCCGCAATTTTTCCAGTGGGCCGTTCTGGATTGATTACCTTGCTGTAGAATTCAGCAATTTTCGGAAACTCATTATTAACAGCTTCATGTGTACTATTGTGTGGATCTCGGTAATTAACGCTGTAGTCTTCCATTCTAACATCTTCGAAAGATTCCACATCAGTCATGGAGTTTGTGGCCTCCCCGCACATTTCATTCGTTGAAATTTTATCGTTTGCTTCAATCGTTGTGGTGCTTTGGAGCTGTTTGAAGATTTGCTGTTTGTGTTTGCTGTTAAGTTTTTGAAAATCTCCCATATCTATCAGCCAGTGTCCCCCTTTCTGTTTTCCAAAACGTGACTGCAGCTTTGCACATATCGTCCCTTGGGCTAATCTAGCCCTTATACCCATTCGGTGGAGCATGGTTTTGAAGGCTGATCCAGTCATGTGCTGGAAATCTGTTTTAACGTCCGCCAGTGCCACGTATTGATTTCCATCAATTTCAAACAGATCTCTGTCCAGAATTTTGGTAGGTTCTAAATAAAATATTCTGGTTACATGTATAAAAAGGAAACTGGTTCCAAGAAAACTGATAACAAAATGCAATCGTGTTGAAAAAGTCTTGTTGCAAAAGTATATGTTTCGACCATCAATCTGTGAGAAAACATCCTTTCTATTGTAAATAATTAACGATAAGGAAACAACTTGCCATGAAAATTTGAATCCATTTCGTTCTTTAACGAGGGACAATTGCTTGATCCTACAAGGAAAATATGCTGATTCAATAAAAGGAAATTATGATGTTTTGCTACAAATACTTTTTTCTACTCTATCGCCCCGCGATCTCACTACGCCCATCAAAATACGTGAAATAAATGGAAAACCAGGTTAGAGAAATTCGGTTTAGAAATTTGGTCACACCCGAACCAAGCCCCAATGAAGCTTTTCTTATAAAAACGAAATTCTGGTTATATGCATCTGGTTACATTGACAAAACAAGCTGGAAGACAACTGGTTACATGATGTAACCAGATAAAAAAGTCATCTGGTTAAAACGCGCTGCTTTCAACGGGAACTAGCCTTATTGAACTCGTTTTATATTATTGAAACTCTTTCATAAATATCAATTCTGGTAGCATGCATCTGGTTACATCGAAAAAACCGGCTGGAAGACAACTGGTTACATGATGTAACCAGATAGAAAAACCATCTGGTTTAAACGATCTGCTTTCAACGGGAACTAGCCTTATTGAAACTCGTTTAATATTATTGACACTCTTTCATAAAACTCAATTCTGGTTGCATGCATCTGGTTACATCGACAAAACAGGCTGGAAGACAATTGGTCAATGATGTAACCAGATAAAAAAGTTATTTGGTTTAAACAATCTGGTTTCAACGGGAGCTAGCCCTAGTCAAACTAGTTACATTAAAGCGCAATTCTGGCTAAATGTTTCTAATATGATAGAGGAAACTGGTTACAAGACAACTGGTTTCATGATGAAACCAGATAGAATTTTATGCATAACAAGTTTAAACATAAAATCAAACGGACTGGACCCCCCCCCCCGGGCTGCGAATGCAGCAAACTACAAGCAGACCTTCCCTTTATGGAATGCGGCACCCCCCTCGTCCCTTATCACGAGAGATGCTGCCAAAAAGAAGATTCTAAAATTTTGACCTAACTCTGGCAATAGTTTTACCCTAATTTTGTGAAAAAAGTTTAAGATGTAACCAGATATAAGCAATCTCGCTACGCGCGTCAAACTACGTAAAATAAATGAAAAACCAGGTTAGAGAAATCAGTTTAGAAATTTGGTCACACCCGAACTAAGCCCCAATGAAGCTTTTCTTATAGAAACGCAATTCGGGTTATATGCATCTGGTTACATTGACAAAACAGGCTGGAAGACAACTGGTTACATGATGTAACCAGATAAAAAAGTTATTTGGTTTAAACAATCTGGTTTCAACGGGAGCTAGCCCTAGTCAAACTAGTTACATTAAAGCGTAATTCTGGCTAAATGTTTCTAATATCATAGAGGAAACTGGTAACAAGACAACTGATGATGAAACCAGATAGAATTTTATGCATAACAAGTTTAAACATCAAATACAAGGTGTATATTAAAAGTATCTGTTGTCAAGTTCTAAAGATTTGCACTTGTTCAAAAGAATTCTGGTGAATTGCGTTGCCGTTGCCGGTGAAATTGATTGCAAAAAATATAAACAGTAGGAACTATTGAAGTTTTTGATAATCTGGAAATAAACTCACCTAATGAATAGATAAACCAATTTTATTGTCTCACCTCAGCTGACGAGGATTGAATTAATGATTTGGTTCGCGTTTATTCGTGAACTGTACAATATACTTTCTGGTTCTTATATCCACGTTGGAGACTTTGTATCAACATCTGCTTTTATTTCATCAATCGAAAATTGCAACTACACTTCAGCAAATTCACAGTAATTCTGAAACGTTAGTTGGAACACACTCTTATATAACAAACAGTCAACATAGCTATGGTTATCAAAATAAACAAACAAATTGTAGTTAGAATTGAGAATACTATCAAAAGAAACAGTTTTGGTAAATTTAATACACGGATTATTTCCTATGGCTATCAAAATAAACAAACAAACTGTAGTTAGAATTGGGAATACAATCAAAAGAAACAGTTTTAGTAACTTTATCACACGGATTATTTCCTATGGCTATCGAAATAAACAAACAAACTGTAGTTAGAATTGGGAATACAATCAAAGGAAACAGTTTTAGCAAATTTCATACTCACATAATTTCCCACAGCATAAAACAAAGAGCTGTTAAATGCATTCTTGTTAACTTATGTCGTGTGAGTCAGTAACAGATATGCGCAGTGACATAGGCGTTCGCAGTTACAGCAAACTTACACAGCATGCACTTTATAAGTCATAATTATAAACCCTTATGGATGATTTTTTAAATACAGAGTTTCAGGAGTAATTGCGATTTTGAAATTTCCATTCGGACACTCGTACCACTCGGACCCCTCTGAAGCATCTGCTCCCCCGGCCCCAGTCTCCCTCTTCCATCTTTATTACCTATCCTTCAAGAGGAACTTCGTTTTCGATACAGTGGTAAGAAAATAAATTTACAGCTGGTATCACGAGCAAAGGATGAACAAAAGAACACAATAAAAAACCTTGATAAATTCTTGTTTGACAAAAACAACACTTAATTTAACATTCATAAAAACTTGCTAATATGACGTATTGTTATAATTAATAATAACAAGTTTATACGGGAAAAAACGTGTTGTTACAACCAATCTGGTACTGAACTTATTCGCTCATTATACTATCGTTATTTGGGTGAAGTACTACAAGCACCGTACATATTTTACTTGTTCAAGTTAAAATTGATAGGGCTACGTGATATATACCGAAACTTATTATTTTTATAGAAAATTATATATCGAAAGAGAATTAAACTACATAAAAGTCACGGACTTCTTCATTCTCCAGCTCCTTATGATCCGCCAATGAATTGATGTTGTTCTGCTATTGCTCTGACGTCTATCAAAAATAAAATTTTAATAAATAACTAGGGTTTAACGGATAACACAACTGAATGTTAAAATATCACCAAATCAACTAAACCATAGAAGATAATCACAACATAGCAAAATCGCTAGACTATTTACTGTTTCGGGGGCAAACTGTTACAGAGAGTCCATTATCCTATTCTATAGAACCTTTGCACCCCGTCCTGGTGCACAGAGAACCTTATCCACACAAGTTCCTTATTTTCGTGCCATAACACAACTGAATGTTAAAATATCACCAAATCAACTAAACCATAGAAGATAATCACAACAAAGCAAATCGCTAGACTATTTACTGTTTCGGGGGCAAACTGTTACAGAGAGTCCATTATCCTATTCTATAGAACCTTGCACCCCGTCCTGGTGCACAGAGAACCTTATCCACACAAGTTCCTTATTTTCGTGCCATAACACAACTGAATGTTAAAATATCACCAAATCAACTAAACCATAGAAGATAATCACAACAAAGCAAATCGCTAGACTATTTACTGTTTCGGGGGCAAACTGTTACAGAGAGTCCATTATCCTATTCTATAGAACCTTGCACCCCGTCCTGGTGCACAGAGAACCTTATCCACACAAGTTCCTTATTTTCGTGCCATAACACAACTGAATGTTAAAATATCACCAAATCAACTAAACCATAGAAGATAATCACAACAAAGCAAATCGCTAGACTATTTACTGTTTCGGGGGCAAACTGTTACAGAGAGTCCATTATCCTATTCTATAGAACCTTGCACCCCGTCCTGGTGCACAGAGAACCTTATCCACACAAGTTCCTTATTTTCGTGCCATAACACAACTGAATGTTAAAATATCACCAAATCAACTAAACCATAGAAGATAATCACAACAAAGCAAATCGCTAGACTATTTACTGTTTCGGGGGCAAACTGTTACAGAGAGTCCATTATCCTATTCTATAGAACCTTGCACCCCGTCCTGGTGCACAGAGAACCTTATCCACACAAGTTCCTTATTTTCGTGCCATAACACAACTGAATGTTAAAATATCACCAAATCAACTAAACCATAGAAGATAATCACAACAAAGCAAATCGCTAGACTATTTACTGTTTCGGGGGCAAACTGTTACAGAGAGTCCATTATCCTATTCTATAGAACCTTGCACCCCGTCCTGGTGCACAGAGAACCTTATCCACACAAGTTCCTTATTTTCGTGCCATAACACAACTGAATGTTAAAATATCACCAAATCAACTAAACCATAGAAGATAATCACAACAAAGCAAATCGCTAGACTATTTACTGTTTCGGGGGCAAACTGTTACAGAGAGTCCATTATCCTATTCTATAGAACCTTGCACCCCGTCCTGGTGCACAGAGAACCTTATCCACACAAGTTCCTTATTTTCGTGCCATAACACAACTGAATGTTAAAATATCACCAAATCAACTAAACCATAGAAGATAATCACAACAAAGCAAATCGCTAGACTATTTACTGTTTCGGGGGCAAACTGTTACAGAGAGTCCATTATCCTATTCTATAGAACCTTGCACCCCGTCCTGGTGCACAGAGAACCTTATCCACACAAGTTCCTTATTTTCGTGCCATAACACAACTGAATGTTAAAATATCACCAAATCAACTAAACCATAGAAGATAATCACAACAAAGCAAATCGCTAGACTATTTACTGTTTCGGGGGCAAACTGTTACAGAGAGTCCATTATCCTATTCTATAGAACCTTGCACCCCGTCCTGGTGCACAGAGAACCTTATCCACACAAGTTCCTTATTTTCGTGCCATAACACAACTGAATGTTAAAATATCACCAAATCAACTAAACCATAGAAGATAATCACAACAAAGCAAATCGCTAGACTATTTACTGTTTCGGGGGCAAACTGTTACAGAGAGTCCATTATCCTATTCTATAGAACCTTGCACCCCGTCCTGGTGCACAGAGAACCTTATCCACACAAGTTCCTTATTTTCGTGCCATAACACAACTGAATGTTAAAATATCACCAAATCAACTAAACCATAGAAGATAATCACAACAAAGCAAATCGCTAGACTATTTACTGTTTCGGGGGCAAACTGTTACAGAGAGTTCATTACCTTAATCTATAGAACTTTGCACCCCGTCTTGGTGCACAGAGAACCTTATCCACTATCCAACACAAGTTCCTTATTTTCGTGCCATAACACAACTGAATGTTAAAATATCACAAAATCAACTAAACCATAGAAGATAATAACAACAAAGCAAATCGCTAGACTATTTACTGTTTCGGGGGCAAACTGTTACAGAGATTCCATTATCCTATTCTATAGAACTTTGCACCCCGTCCTGGTGCACAGAGAACCTTATCCACACAAGTTCTTTATTTTCGTGCCATAACACAACTGAATGTTAAAATATCACCAAATCAACTAAACCATAGAAGATAATCACAACAAAGCAAATCGCTAGACTATTTACTGTTTCGGGGGCAAACTGTTACAGAGATTCCATTATCCTATTCTATAGAACTTTGCACCCCGTCTTGGTGCACAGAGAACCTTATCCACACAAGTTCCTTATTTTCGTGCCATAACACAACTGAATGTTAAAATATCACCAAATCAACTAAACCATAGAAGATAATCACAACAAAGCAAATCGCTAGACTATTTACTGTTTCGGGGGCAAACTGTTACAGAGATCCATTATCTTATTCTATAGAACTTTGCACCCCGTCTTGGTGCACAGAGAACCTTATCCACACAAGTTCCTATTTTCGTGCAATAACACAACTGAATGTTAAAATATCACCAAATCAACTAAACCATAGAAGATAATACAACAAAGCAAATCGCTAGACTATTAACTGTTTCGGGGGCAAACTGTTACAGAGATTCCATTATCTTATTCATAGAACTTTGCACCCCGTCTTGGTGCACAGAGAACCTTATCCACACAAGTTCCTTATTTTCGTGCCATAACACAACTGAATGTTAAAATATCACCAAATCAACTAAACCATAGAAGATAATCACAACAAAGCAAATCGCTAGACTATTTACTGTTTCGGGGGCAAACTGTTACAGAGATTCCATTATCTTATTCTATAGAACTTTGCACCCGTCCTGGTGCAGAGAACCTTATCCACACAAGTTCCTTATATCCACACAAGTTCCTTATTTTCGTGCCATAACACAACTGAATGTTAAAATATCACCAAATCAACTAAACCATAGAGATAATCACAACAAAGCAAATCGCTAGACTATTTACTGTTTCGGGGGCAAACTGTTACAGAGAGTCCATTATCCTATTCTATAGAACCTTGCACCCGTCCTGGTGCACAGAGAACCTTATCCACACAAGTTCCTTATTTTCGTGCCATAACACAACTGAATGTTAAAATATCACCAAATCAACTAAACCATAGAAGATAATCACAACAAAGCAATCGCTAGACTATTTACTGTTTCGGGGGCAAACTGTTAGAAGTCCATTATCCTATTTCTATAGGAACCTTCGCACCCCGTCTTGGTGCACAGAGAGCCTTATCCACACAAGTTCCTTATTTTCGTGCCATAACACAACTGAATGTTAAAATATCACCAATCAACTAAACCATAGAAGATAATCACAACATAGCAAATCGCTAGACTATTTACTGTTCCTTCGGGCGGCAAATTTACAGAGAGTCCATTAGTCCTTATTCTATAAGAACCTTGCACCCCGTCTGGTGCACAGAGAACCTTATCCACACAAGTTCCTTATTTTCGTGCCATAACACAACTGAATGTTAAAATATCACCAAATCAACTAAACCATAGAAGATAATCACAACAAAGCAAATCGCTAGACTATTTACTGGTTCGGGGGCAAACTGTTACAGAGAGTCCATTATCCTATTCTATAGAACCTTGCACCCCGTCCTGGTGCACAGAGAACCTTATCCACACAAGTTCCTTATTTTCGTGCCATAACACAACTGAATGTTAAAATATCACAAAATCAACTAAACCATAGAAGATAATCACAACAAAGCAAATCGCTAGACTATTTACTGTTTCGGGGGCAAACTGTTACAGAGAGTCCATTATCCTATTCTATAGAACCTTGCACCCCGTCCTGGTGCACAGAGAACCTATCCACACAAGTTCCTTATTTTCGTGCCATAACACAACTGAATGTTAAAATATCACCAAATCAACTAAACCATAGAAGATAATCACAACAAAGCAAATCGCTAGACTACTTACTGTTTCGGGGGCAAACTGTTACAGAGAGTCCATTATCCTATTCTATAGAACCTTGCACCCCGTCCTGGTGCACAGAGAACCTTATCCACACAAGTTCCTTATTTCCTGCCATAACACAACTGAATGTTAAAATATCACCAAATCAACTAAACCATAGAAGATAATCACAACAAAGCAAATCGCTAGACTATTTACTGTTCCGGGGGCAAACTGTTACAAAGAGTCCATTATCCTATTCTATAGAACCTTGCACCCCGTCCTGGTGCACAGAGAACCTTATCCACACAAGTTCCTTATTTTCGTGCCATAACACAACTGAATGTTAAAATATCACCAAATCAACTAAACCATAGAAGATAATCACAACAAGCAAATCGCTAGACTATTTACTGTTTCGGGGGCAAACTGTTACAGAGAGTCCATTATCCTATTCTATAGAACCTTGCACCCCGTCCTGGTGCACAGAGAACCATATCCACACAAGTTCCTTATTTTCGTGCCATAACACAACTGAATGTTAAAATATCACCAAATCAACTAAACCATAGAAGATAATCACAACAAAGCAAATCGCTAGACTATTTACTGTTTCGGGGGCAAACTGTAACATATTTGTGTTACAGAGAGGTAATATTTGTTAAAAGTCCCAGTATGATAAAGATCTCAAAGCTTGTACCATGGCAATGTAAGCAACTCAACATAAATGCCTAGGCCCAACATAAAGACTGTTAGAAATGTCAAATGGTGAAATCAATTCGAGACAAAATGATGAACCCTTTTAAATCATGTCAAGATGTAGCTTAAAAGGAGTCTCACCTAAACCAAAGTAATCTGAGTAGTATCATTCCTATCCATTTAACACTCTCCGAAGCAACTTAGCGCGCGGAATTGAAGCGCCATTTTGTTTATATTGAGCATGGTGCAGCCTCTATTTGATGCTAGTGGTCATTTTTCCTTAGTTTGGCCTATTGTTTTCCCTATTGTTTGCCCCACTTCAACCCCAATTATTTCGAAAACGGTGCATTTAAGACCCTTTATCTAGAGTGTCAATCAACTCAGCGTAATTTTCTACACCAGAAACATTTAATGATTTTTTCACTTATTTTGAAAAGTATCACCCCTTCCTTAATACATTTAACCGAGGCCCTATTGTTTCACCAGGACGCGCCGCTAAAACCCCTCTATAGTAGTGAAGTAAGGAATGTTCGAAAAATATAGAAAAATAGTAAATTAGCTTTTAAGATTACCAGCTTTTGATACAATGGGTAAATATACTTCATCTCTAGCATAGTACCAGAGGTCTTGGAAATTCTATATGGTTTTGGTGTAAATTGCATCTAAAGTTTGGTCATTCCCTAGGTGGGTTATGACCAATTCAATTCACTTCAATTCATTAAATGTTCTGTTCTGCTTTTGATTGTGGGTATCTTTAACTTTGGTATTGGGAAATACCCCTAACCTAGGGGCCATCAGGGAGTTAGTATCAATGTGAAATAACTTTCGTACATCATTTTAAACTTAAATTAGCGCTAGCAATTGGTTTTGAAGGGCTTTAAAACACATAATTTAAGGGGCCTGTATATATCAATGCATGTATTTAGAAGACACGTAAAGAAACAAAAATGAAAAGTTGTTCTTTGGTAGACACTTTTTCTACTTGAAAACTTAAAGAAAACTTTTTGTTATGTAGCTACATGAAAAAAATATCTTTATAGCGTTGATACTTCAAAAGGAATAAATCGTAACACAATCAATGGAGAGAACTACAACCTCTAATTAATCTATGAAGGTGTCACAAATGTTCGCAAATAATAGTATAATGTGTAATGATGTAACAAAATTTAAATAAAGTCATTGTTTGATTCCGATGAACTTTCATCCATTTGTTGTCGCATCCCTTCCATGACTGCCTCGTATATTTCATGCTTACGTGTTCGGAGATGATAAGTGTTACTGTCCGCATCATATACACAATCAATGGGGTGAACTACAGCCTCTATACTTTCTTTGAAGGTGATGCCAATTTTCATTTTATACGTGTAGCTTTCGTCAGTCTCTTCCATCTCGGCCATTAATACAGTTTTCTCGTCGTAGTTCACATCGATTACCTTACCTACTAAAATGTTTGGAACAGCCAAAGTCGAATCATTTGTAATTAGAGCAACAATTTGATCTCTAATGGGGTAGTTCCAACAGGACAATTTTCGACGAATCCCTAAACAGTTAGCTGTATTATCTGCCAAGTGTCTTACACCCTTTTTAATTTTGTTCTCGGTTTCCATGGTATAGTATCTTAGTCTCTGAGTTCTCTGACTGTGTGACATAAGTCTTGCGATAGCTGCTTCTATGTTTTTGTCCTTTTCCTCAGACAGAACCCAGTTAACTAAACTTTTACGAAGGGTTCCTGTAGTTACATGCAATTGATCATCCGAATGTTGTGAGAATGACTTGGAGAGATAAACTGTAAATGATTCGGAACTTTCAAATGGCTCTCCACTTTTACGCATGAAAAGAAAGTCGTGTTTCTTATCTTTAAGGAGTATCCTCCTTTCTTTATCTATAAATGTTCGCAAATAGCGCTCTAAATAATCGACGCTCGAAACCGAGATCCGATTGCACCCATAAGTCGAAGAGGTTTTAAAATGTTTATTTCCAATTCCACTGTGCCATCTTCTTTGAATATAAGATAGTTGTTATTTCTATCTCGCTCTTCATCCTTCTCTTGCACTATTTTAAGTCTTATCATGTCAGTGTTTCTTGCCGTATTAACAGTGGCAAACATTAAAAGAATTAAGAAATCATGATACAATCTTGCCTTATCTATTCTCGTGCCACAAAATGTTTCCAATTCATATTTCATTTTCTTTAATAGTTCCATTGCTTGTCCCAGTAATAGTTTTTTTTTCTGTCCGTATTTGTATTTTTTCTCCTTCTCTCCTTTTCGTACTCTCTCTGTTAAAAGAAAAGTGAATGCAATCAGCAAAAGAAAACAACACCACCAAGAAGGAAAATGCATACAAAGTGCGTAAAGCGTAGAAGTAACCGACAGCACAACCAACGCTGTAATCTTTTCAAAGCATATTTTATATCAAATTCGCTATTGGACGACGATAATTTGGCAATCTTGGTCACTTTGGCCGTTCTTAGTTCACTTGAAACGTAGATATAAACTCTGAAGTAGATGACTTCAAATTAAATGCTTACCTGCAGCTGAGACTGTATTCTTTTCAGCTGCACAATCTCTTTATTTCCATAAGGTTTCCGCTATTTCTCTTCACATATTTGGCAATATATAAAATCGATTGTACATAGCCTGCCACCGTGCCGTAGCTTAAGGGTTTGGCCAATCGCGTTTGCACGAAAGCATCCACTTTTTCGTGTTAAGGCAATCTTCAATGTTTGGACTCCGTGTTTCTGTCTCTGCAACAAAAATAAAGTATTCTTTTGCTTTACCAATGATCTTTTTCACTGTTGCCTCTGCAATTTTTCCAGTGGGCCGTTCTGGATTGATTACCTTGCTGTAGAATTCAGCAATTTTCGGAAACTCATTATTAACAGCTTCATGTGTACTATTGTGTGGATCTCGGTAATTAACGCTGTAGTCTTCCATTCTAACATCTTCGAAAGATTCCACATCAGTCATGGAGTTTGTGGCCTCCCCGCACATTTCATTCGTTGAAATTTATCGTTTGCTTCAATCGTTGTGGTGCTTTGGAGCTGTTTGAAGATTTGCTGTTTGTGTTTGCTGTTAAGTTTTTGAAAATCTCCCATATCTATCAGCCAGTGTCCCCCTTTCTGTTTTCCAAAACGTGACTGCAGCTTTGCACATATCGTCCCTTGGGCTAATCTAGCCCTTATACCCATTCGGTGGAGCATGGTTTGAAGGCTGATCCAGTCATGTGCTGGAAATCTGTTTTAACGTCCGCCAGTGCCACGTATTGATTTCCATCAATTTCAAACAGATCTCTGTCCAGAATTTTGGTAGGTTCTAAATAAAAATATTCTGGTTACATGTATAAAAGGAAACTGGTTCCAAGAAAACTGATAACAAAATGCAATCGTGTTGAAAAAGTCTTGTTGCAAAAGTATATGTTTCGACCATCAATCTGTGAGAAAACATCCTTTCTATTGTAAATAATTAACGATAAGGAAACAACTTGCCATGAAAATTTGAATCCATTTCGTTCTTTAACGAGGGACAATTGCTTGATCCTACAAGGAAAATATGCTGATTCAATAAAAGGAAATTATGATGTTTTGCTACAAATACTTTTTTCTACTCTATCGCCCCGCGATCTCACTACGCCCATCAAAATACGTGAAATAAATGGAAAACCAGGTTAGAGAAATTCGGTTTAGAAATTTGGTCACACCCGAACCAAGCCCCAATGAAGCTTTTCTTATAAAAACGAAATTCTGGTTATATGCATCTGGTTACATTGACAAAACAAGCTGGAAGACAACTGGTTACATGATGTAACCAGATAAAAAAGTCATCTGGTTAAAACGCGCTGCTTTCAACGGGAACTAGCCTTATTGAAACTCGTTTTATATTATTGAAACTCTTTCATAAATATCAATTCTGGTTGCATGCATCTGGTTACATCGAAAAAACCGGCTGGAAGACAACTGGTTACATGATGTAACCAGATAGAAAAACCATCTGGTTTAAACGATCTGTTTTCAACGGGAACTAGCCTTATTGAAACTCGTTTAATATTATTGACACTCTTTCATAAAACTCAATTCTGGTTGCATGCATCTGGTTACATCGACAAAACAGGCTGGAAGACAACTGGTCAATGATGTAACCAGATAAAAAAGTTATTTGGTTTAAACAATCTGGTTTCAACGGGAGCTAGCCCTAGTCAAACTAGTTACATTAAAGCGCAATTCTGGCTAAATGTTTCTAATATGATAGAGGAAACTGGTTACAAGACAACTGGTTTCATGATGAAACCAGATAGAATTTTATGCATAACAAGCTTAAACATAAAATCAAACGGACTGGACCCCCCCCCCCCGGGCTGCGAATGCAGCAAACTACAAGCAGACCTTCCCTTTATGGAATGCGGCACCCCCCTCGTCCCTTATCACGAGAGATGCTGCCAAAAAGAAGATTCTAAAATTTTGACCTAGCTCTGGCAATAGTTTTACCCTAATTTTGTGAAAAAAGTTTAAGATGTAACCAGATATAAGCAATCTCGCTACGCGCGTCAAACTACGTAAAATAAATGAAAAACCAGGTTAGAGAAATCAGTTTAGAAATTTGGTCACACCCGAACTAAGCCCCAATGAAGCTTTTCTTATAGAAACGCAATTCGGGTTATATGCATCTGGTTACATTGACAAAACAGGCTGGGAGACAACTGGTTACATGATGTAACCAGATAAAAAAGTTATTTGGTTTAAACAATCTGGTTTCAACGGGAGCTAGCCCTAGTCAAACTAGTTACATTAAAGCGTAATTCTGGCTAAATGTTTCTAATATCATAGAGGAAACTGGTAACAAGACAACTGATGATGAAACCAGATAGAATTTTATGCATAACAAGTTTAAACATCAAATACAAGGTGTATATTAAAAGTATCTGTTGTCAAGTTCTAAAGATTTGCACTTGTTCAAAAGAATTCTGGTGAATTGCGTTGCCGTTGCCGGTGAAATTGATTGCAAAAAATATAAACAGTAGGAACTATTGAAGTTTTTGATAGGACGAGATTAATAATATTTGGGTCCGTTATTCTTGAACTGACAATATACTTTCTGGTCTTAGTA